GGGAGTGGGTTTGGGTGGTGTTGTCCCTGCCTATGGCAGGGGGTTGGAACTGGATGATCTTATGGTCCCTTCCAACCCAAACCATTCTATGGTTCTATGATTCTAAAAAGAGATGGCCCTGACAGGACTTCTTAAAGTCACTTTGTACTTTAACAACTACATCCGCCAGTAACTTACCAAGTTTGCGAGTACTGGTCCCAGGGTAGCAAAAGGACTTGGAAGGCACTGGTTCCTGATGGTAAGCAGTGTAGTTCTTGCGCAAATCCCATACTTTGATCACACTGAAACAGAAAATCACAAGTGTCTTTAACTTCAAAATTCCTTTTGCAATGCTGATAGGGCCTTCTAAGAGCTCAGGAAGACTGGTTGCACATTCCTGAGGAGTGTTCAGTGCTTAGGAACACAATGGAGCAGGAGTGGAGATGTGCTGAAAAGAAACAACTGATTTGCTGGGTATGGATGAGGAAACAACACTCTCTTCTGTAACTAACACAGGGTACAACAACTTTCTTCAACTAGTAAAAGGAAATACAAAGATGCCTTTATACTCCTGACATGTAGGTTTGAAAATGAAGGCCTTCAAGATTTTTCTTCCTTTCCAGGAGCAAGCCTCTCTCAAGAGCCATAGGCAGGAGAGTCATTCTTATCTGCCTCAGAAAGGCTGTGACCACATGGAGCCTCCTAAAGAGTCAAGTCCTGGAAGGGCAAACCTCCATGCTAATCAATGAGACAGTTTGCTTGAGCTCAAAGATGCTGCAACGGATCTGGCACCTAAAAGAATTCATCTTTTGTAACTCAAGGCAACATTTTCTCAAGCATGCCTACACATATCCAGGCACCAACCACCCACTTGCATCCCAAAACAGTTCACTGTCTAACAATAGTCTGTTTATACATGGTCCCGTGGGTCCATTAGAATGGAGAGAGATGGTAAGAACTGCTCTCGTTCTGCCCCATAGCCAAGACACTAAAAGGAGCATTTGCCACATAAGCACAATTTGTCCCAGTGCTGCAATCTCCAGTAAGGAAGAACAGTGGCATTCAGCTGTGCCATTGCGAGCTGGCAGAATAGCTCTGCTTGATTCTACCTAGTAGTAATTCTATAGCCTTGTGGGCTCACTGAGTGATCTTAGGCAAAAAATCCTCCCAATCTTCTTGTGCCGCTAAGAACACCACACAGAATAGAAAGAAAAGCAGGTATCCTCTCTCCTTACCCATCGACAGCTCCTGCAGAGATAAGAGTATGCTCATCCTGAAGCAGCACCACAGTTACACTCTGCTGGAAATCCTTAAAAAAAAAAGGAAAAAGAAAGAACTTTATTTTCTTTCAAGGTCTTACTGCTTAGTTCAAGGCCAAGTGAAACCCGAGAAAACCTCCTCCCAGACAGGTAGGAGAACCTGGCAATACCAGATGCCATTTAGGATACAACAATCCTCCAAACACTCCCACCAGTGAAATTGCCACTGAGAAGTAAGTGTTTGGGCAGCAGTTTGAGATTATACCTTTCAGGTCAGAGATAAGAGAGCTGTGTTCATCATAAGGTTTAATAGATTAAATAAGAGCAGGACTTACTCCAGTAAGGCAATAACTTAAATTCGGGGG